CTGATGCTGATGACGATGACGATGCTGCTGCTGCTGATGATAAACATGGAGTTGGTGATGCTGATGATGCTGATGATGATGAGGATGCTGCTGATGCTGATAATGCTGCTGATGATGATAATGATAATGATGATGATGATGATGATGATGATGATGATGATGATGATGATGATGGTGATGATGATGACGATGACGATGCTGCTGCTGATGATGATAATAATGGAGTTGGTGATGATGATGCTGATAATGATGCTGCTGATGATGATAATGCTGATGATGATGATAATGCTGCTGCTGCTGCTGCTGCTGCTGCTGATGATGATGATGATGATGATGATGATGATGATGATTAGTATTAGCATTCGCAGTATCATTGTTATCATTCTTATTGTCATTGTTGTTGTTATTATTATTATTATTATTAATACTATTATTATTATTATTGTTATTATTGTTATTATGATTAATACTACTACTACTATTATTATTAGTAGCAATAAAAGTATTATGATTATTGAAGGGAATGGGCCATCTCCTCAGCCATGCCAGTGTGGTGCTCGGGGATGTCGTCCAAGCTCTCGTGACACTGTGCGCGGAGGGCCTCCGCTCTCGCGCCGCCGTGGTCCCAGGGGAGCATCAGCCGGCGACCAGCCGCTGAGAGGAAGCAGGCGAGGACGGCGGCCTCGTGGGAGGTGATGGTGCCGCGGCGTTGGACCGCGGGTGTCCACGTGAAGAGGGCCTGGACGGCCGAGCGAACCCGTGGGTGCTGCAGCGGCTTGCCGAGCTGGTCCAGCCAGAGGCCGGCCTCCAGGAGGGGGCCGTAGGCCGTAGGGTCGCAGAGTGGGCCCCGGGTGGTGTCCCACCAGACCAGCGGGAGGGCTCGGCACAGGGGCGAGAGGGGCCAGGCCCAACGCAGGCGGGCGCGTATGGGGTCCAGTGCCGGCGGTGCGCCGCTGACGGGGACGAGAACGTTGGGTGAGCCTTCATGGGGGGTCTCTGTGGACCTCCGCTGCCCTCTCATAAACGTGATTTCGACCGGATATCGCTCAGATTTCGACCACACTTTTTCACCCTTTCGTCCAAACTTTGGACAGAAGTGCACATCCCATGAAATCTGGACGAAAATACCCAAAACCGCGAGGAATTTGTGGACACTCTGAGGCTCCCGTGAAGGACCACACAAAGGACGGTGCCGCGGTCGCCCCGCTCAGGCCTGAAAACGCCGTCTGGGACACTGCAGCTCCCAGAGAAACAAGTTGAAACGGGTCTTGTTCCGCTGGGCCGGCGGGGGGCTCCACCACTGAGTCATGCTCCATCTGCTGGTGTCCTCATCTGCCATGTTGAGTTGGTCGGTGGGCGTGGACTTCGCTGTTATGGCAACAAGTGACTTGAGGAGAGCTGCAGGAGGAACTACCTGGCCTGTGCTGGGCTCGGGGGAGCTGGTTTCCAGAACTCAAGAAACGGCACCCTCACCACACCCTCCACGTCTGCCTCCACAGCGCGCCTGAGGGTGGCTCGGCAGGTCTGCAAAGCAGGCAAGTAGAAAGCAGAAAGCAGTGGTCCCACCAGCCCTCTGGGCGTATGTGGTCTAGGGAGCTTCCTCTTCCAACACCCTTCTTCCCCTTCGGGGAGGGGTTTATCACTGTTCACTATTAATCTACACCCCCTCCCCCACCCGGCCCGCGGCCAACCCGGAACCATGCCAACCCCATGCGGGCCCCCTCCCACAATCCGTCAACAAAAAACAATACAAAACGCAGTCTGCATCCACATTTGGAGCATGCGCGGCCAACCCGATGCGGCCCCCACCCCGCCATCCCTGTCAAAAACAATACAAAATACACTTTGGGCAAAGCCTTGAGTCATGTTCGTGAGGCCCGCGAGCACGTTGTATTGTTTTTGGCAGGGGCGGCGGGGTTGTCAGCATAGTCCCAGCTGTGCGCAGGGCTACCTTCCCTGACAAAAAAAACAATACAAAATGCACCTCGCGGCTAGATGTGGATCATGCGCGGCCACCCCGCGATTACTGTCAAATGGTTTTTGACAGGGGCGGCGGGGGTGGTGGCGCCTGGCCTGCTGTGCGCAGGCCCCTCAGACACAATGATGGGCATTGGTTTTCGCCATGGTGGGGGCCGACATGTTTCCCGATGTGTGCAGTCACGTGCGCAGGCGCACCTGACGCACTCTGCACGTGCCCCGAACGTGGCGCATCTGGCGCGGCTGGAGTGCGCGGCACACCTGGCGCACTTGGAGCACGTGGCGCATCTGGCGCACCAAGCGTGCCCGGCACGCTCGGGCCCCCGTGGTGCCTGGCGCGCGTGTCGCCCCTGGCACGCTTGGCGCACCTCGCCCTGGGGTCGGCTTTGGTTCCCAATAGCCGTCCATCCAAAGACGACCGCTGAATATGCTGAGGCTCGGGTGTTACTTATGTGTTGGGAGGGCAAGTGGGAGTGAGCTAGTCCGCTTGCGGGCGGGTGGGTGTCTTGACCCCTCCCCCTACCCCCTCCCCTGGATCTGGACGGGGGGGTCCGCGGGTAGTTGGAGCGTCCGAGATGGCCCACGAGGGCTCCAAGAGGGCCTCGGAGAGCCCAAGATGACCTCCAAGATGGCTCAAGATAGCCCAAGATGCCTCAAGATGGCTCCCAAGATGCTCCAAGAGACCCCAATAACGCTCTAAGACGATTTCAGGTGGCTAAAGAGCTCCCCAAGGAGGCCCCGAAGAGGCCAAAATTTGTCCAAAACCTAAGGAAATCTATTGTTTTTGCATTCTCACCGGTTCGCTTTCGATGGCCATCCAAGAGCGCCCCTCAAGCTCCCAAGAGCGCCCAAAGATGGCCCCAAGAGGCGCCCAGGCGGCCCTAAGTGGCGCCCAAGAGGCCTCAAAGAGTCTCCCAAGAGCCCCCCAAGAAGCCGCAAGAGGATCCCCGAGGCACCCAAAACGCTCAAAGACTGCCCTGGGCCTGCCACGATGCCCCCAAGACGCTACAGGAGGCCTCCAAGAAAGCTTCCAAGACACATCCGAGGAGACTCCGAGAGGCACTTAAGCGGCTTCTGGCTCTTCGGTTCGCCGTCCTCTTCCTCCTCCTTATCCACCTATTACTCCTCCTATCTCTTCCCTCCTCCCCCTTCCCCCTCCTCCTCCTCCTCCTTCTCGTCAACCTCGTCCTCGCCCTACTCCGTCTCCTCCTCCTCATTCTGCTCCTCCTCCTCCTCCTCCTCCACTTCCTCCTCCTCCTTCTCCAACGACGACGACTCCTCCTCCATCCTTGTTCTCTGTGGTACATGACGGCTTCCGCCGACCGTTGCTCTTCTGCAGGCTCCCCCGCTTCCCTGATCACCTCAACTCCCCTGCCAGCCTGGGCATCGTTTCTGCATGGGCTGGTGGGGCTACTTTTTTGGATCGTAAGCGCACTGGGAGACGCCAGACGCCGTGCAAAGGTCGCAGCAAGCGGGCTACGAGCGAATTGCGCACCAGGAGGGGGGAGGGAAGGCAACGAGGGGACACCGGAGGGAGGAACAAACAGGAGACGGGCCTCGCTGCCGCTAAGAGAAGGGCGCTGCTGGTGGGGATACGCGACATATCAACAATTAGACAGCAGTGCATCGTGAGGGGAGGCATCAACGCAGCGTGCATCCGAACGGTAACCATTTTGACCCGTGAGCCTCCTCGAGCGGCGTGCGTCGCAACCACCGTACTTCTCACCATGGTCCTGGGAAAATCGTGTGTTTGGGCCCCACATGCCCCACCGTGGCCCTTTGCTCCCTTTGCGTCGAGGGGCTGCGCGCTGTTTGTGTGTGTGTGTGTGTCCTCCTCCTCCTCCTCCTCCTCCGCCTTCTCCTGCTCCTCCTCCTCCTCCTCCGCCTCCTCCTCCTCGTCATCATCATCATCATCATCATCATCATCATCATCATCATCATCATCATCATCATCATCATCATCATCATCATCATCATCATCATCATCATCATCGTCATCATCCATCATCATCATCATCAGCATCAGCAGCAGCAGCAGCATCAGCATCAGCATCAGCATCAGCATCAGCATCAGCAGCAGCATCATCATCATCATCATCATCATCATCATCATCATCATCATCATCATCATCATCATCAACATCATCATCATCATCATCCTCATCCTCATCCTCATCCTCATCCTCATCCTCATCATCCTCCTCCTCCTCATCCTCCTCCTCCTCCTCCTCCTCCTCCTCATCATCATCATCATCGTCATCATCATCATCATCCCTCTTCTGCTCTTAGGGTTTTCAGGGAGGGGTTGAGGTTAAAGTCCCACTTGAAGCAAAAAAGTGCTGGCTTCCCGGCTGATGGGAAATGGACTCCACGTCGCGCCGATGGCTCTGGTTGTGTTTCAGGGTAGGCTGTGATGTCTGGCGACCTCCGCTTAGTATACTTCTTGCTGCCCACGGCTGGAGGAAGCCCTCCAGCCGGTGCTCCTCGCGAAGCTCCTGCTGCTGCTGCTGGTCGCCCCCCGGCTCCTGCCGCTCGTCTTCCTGCTGCTATTGCTCATTGCAAGGAGGGGGGGGGGGGGGGGCAAATGCGTCTAAAGGGTCTAGGGCGAGGAGGTACCGCAAGGTAGCACGAGGGACGGAGGGAGGAGATGGACGAGGAGGAGGAGGAGTAGGAGGAGGCGGAGGAGGAGGAGACGGAGGCGGAGGAGGAGGAGACGGAGGCGGCGGAGGAGAAGGAGCAGGAGGAGGAGGAGGCGGAGGCGGAGGCGGCGGAGGAGGAGGAGGCGGAGGAGGAGGAGGCGGAGGCGGCGGAGGAGGAGGAGGAGGCGGAGGAGGAGGAGGAGGAGGCGGAGGAGGAGGCGGAGGAGGAGGATGAGGAGGAGGAGGAGGAGGAGGAGGAGGCGGAGGCGGCGGAGGCGAAGCAGGAGGAGGAGGCGGAGGAGACGGAGGAGGAGGAGGACAAGTTGGGGCTCCCCCTCTTGTGTGCCTGGGGGGGCGGCGGCGAGGCGTGGCCCCATCGGATTCGTGGTCGTGCCATTGTCGTTCAGGTTGCCCATCGCCACCTCCTGGGCACCAGCGTCTGGGATCCTGAGCACCTCTGAGGAGTGGCGATGGTGAGAGCGAGTAGGGGGGGGACAAAGGAAAGACGGGGATGCGGAGGAAGGACGGAGGAGAGACTGGGGAGGAGGAAGTGGCAGGAACAGCGACGGGGGCGATGGAAGGGAGAGGAGGACCGAGCTCGACGACGAGAACGAGGGCGGAGGACGGAAGACAGAGATCAGGAGGTGGGGGAGGAGGAGGAGGGAAATTGGTTGAGCCAGCCAAGACAAATTGAGCCAACGGGCCCCGCCGATCCCCACCCCGCCCCACCAGAAAACATGGGAGCCAGTGGTGGCGCACATGGATCCTGGGACTGTCACGCGCGTCCCCCCCCGGCGAACGATGGGCGCTCGCGCATGGTCCCGCTTCCGCCGACATGGCGAGGGGTGGGGGGGGAACGTCTGTGGGAAGAAACACACTGTGGGAAATAACACACAGTCTGTGGGAAAAAACACGCACTTCTTTCCCACAGTGTGTGTGTGTGTGTGTGTGTTTTCCCACAGTGTGCTTTTTCCCCACAGTGTGTTTTGTTCCCACAGACTTTTCCCACAGTGTGTGTTTTTTTTTGCGTGTGTTTTTCCCACAGTGCGTTTTTTCCTACAGTGTTGAGTGCTTTTGGGGCCGCGCACGGGCGCGAGTGAAACTTCCAGACGGTCCCTGCGCGGCGCTGTGGCGAGAGCGAGATTTGGCCCTCCCTCGCGCGGCGGCCAGGTTTCCAGTGAGGACGAGGCACGCGTCCCGCCGAAGCAGCACGGCATCGTTCGCGCACGGTTTGCGCGGCGCTTGGGCGACAACGACGTTTCGCCAGCTCTCGCGCGGCCGCGCTGCTGCTGCCTCTTCCCCGCGACTCGGCGACTGAAACACGTGCTCCGTGCTGGAGAGGGTACGTCACTTCCAAGCGAACTTTGCACGGGGCTTGGGCGAGGGCCACCGCTCGAAAGCAACCACGCAACCAGCGACTTAGCGAGTGGAAAAACGCGCCGCGTCCAAGCGGGAGCGCCACTTTCAAGCAACATATGCGCGGCGCCGATGCGAGAGCGACACTTCGCCCGTTCGCGCGCAAACTTGCTGTCGATGGGTTGGCGAGCGAACAATGCCCACCGCGCCCAGGCGGAAGCTCAACTCTCTGGAAACCTGAGCGGTGCGCCAAGGCGAGAACGGCATTTCGCCTTCTCGCGCGCGACGTGCGCCGCAACCCACTCCAACCACGGAATTGGCGAGGTCAGGGACAAAACGGTCATGAGGGAAACATTAAGTTTGGACTTTTGGATAGGTAGGATGGACCCCGGATGGTGTCACTATCGGCTGGCTGGGCTGCAGAGTATAGACTACGAAGGACTGACGATAGGAGGAGGCAGGAGAGGAGAGAGGAGGAATCTTAGGATAATTGGGAAGAGGCAAACGAGGACAATCTTGATGATGATGATGATGATGATGATGATGATGATGATGATGATGATGATGATGATGATAATGATGATGATGATGATAATGATGATGATGATGATGATGATAATGATGATGATGATGATGAGGAGGAGGGGGAGGAGGAGGAGGAGGAGGAGGAGGAGGAGGAAGGAGGAGGAATAGGAGACGGAGCTGGAGGAGGGAGAGGAGGAGGACGAGGAGGAGAAGGCGGAGGAGGAGGAGGAGGAGGAGGAGGAGGAGGAGGAGGAGGAGGAGGAGGTGGAAAAGGGATTGCAATACGGGGCGTATTTTTGACAACAACGACAAAAACACTGTATATAAGCTTCGATTCCCCATCGAAAACCTAAGGACAACCTAAGGCAAGCTGCGAAACAATTAAGGAACACGGAGCCCCTCCCCAACGAAAAGGGTTCGTTGTTTAGCGCCCCGACTGTAAAGGACAGGAAAGAGAGAGAGAGAGAGAGAGAGAGGCGGGGGGGGGGGGGGGGCGGAGGCCAGCAGGGAGCGGCGCGCGCACCAGGGCCCCACACGAGCAGAGCGAGGAGACGAGGGGGAGCGGAGGGAGAGGGACAGTATATGGACAATCTATTCGAACCCTCACACGTTCGAGGGGGATTCCAAATCACCCCGGCGCCCCCGACGTCCGTGTTGATCTCAGTAAAGGCGGTGCCCTGGGGTTCGAATATCTCTGTCCACTCACGCCCCCCCCCGTCGCCACGCCATCAATAGTAATTTCGGGGGGTCGGGGGGGCATCTTGGGCCACAGGGTTCGAACGTAATGTCCATGTGCGGGAGGGAGGCCAGAGGAAGACGAGCTCAGCTGGGGCACAGTGCAGGGTAAATAGGATAGGTGCAGTAGATACTTATAGAATGTCACTGCGTGGAATCATTGCGCACGCTCGGACCTAACCATGGCCTCGGGAGAGCAAGCCCAACGCGGTGGCTGGGGTTGACCGCCACTGGACGTACGGGGCACGGCAATTGCATTCGATGGGCTCCAAGCAACCAGCACATACAAAAACATGACATAGGGATCATGCAGGCAGCCCAGTGAGAGAGAGAGAGAGAGAGAGAGAGAGAGAAAGGAGCGGGATGGAGGGAGAAGGGAGCGGAGCGGAGCGAAAGCGGAAGGGATGTCGGAGCCAGCGTAAGGGGCCGCCATCGGAACGAGAGCCGGAGCTGGAGCTGGAGCCTGCGACGGAGCCGTGTTATTTTTTTGTCGAAGCTGGGATGGCACGGGGGACACGACCGCAGAACGGCAGCTGGGACGCCAGCCGAGCAGGAGTCCGAGGCAGTGTCCGAGCCAAGGTATCTTGAAGGGACCCTGGGATACACAACTCCGCCGGCTTCCTTGTGGGGCCACCAGGCTGCAGGCCGGGAATTCGCAGTTTCCCGTACCAGTTGCAGCTTGCAGTTTCCACTGTTACAGTTCTGCTTCTTGCTGCTTGCTGTTCCTTGTTGACTTCTTGCTGCTTACTGTTCCTTGTTGATGGACCGCGCGAAGGGGGGATGCCCAAAACGGGCCTGTTTACCACGGAAAAATCGTATGCTCTGAATTGCTGGGGTGGGTAAAAATTGGCACCCCTCACGCAGATCGGCGGGGTCAGGGTCATAAAAACACACAGGATCTGCCACATTTCTGAAATTCGGTGGCACCCCTCACGCAGATCGGCGGGGGTCCAAAAACTGCCACATTTCTAAAATTCGGTGGCACTCCTCACGCAGATCGGCGGGGTCAGGGTCCAAAAACAATTGGGATTTGCCACATTTCTGAAATTCGGTGACCCCTCAAGCAGATCGGCGGGATCAGGGTGCAAAAAACAATTGGGATTTGCAACATTTCTCAAATTTCCTGGCACCCCTCACGCAGATCCGTAGGGTCTGGGTCCAAAAACACACACGGGATTTGCCACATTTCTGAAATTCGGCGGCACCCCTCACGCAGATCGGCAGGGTCAGCGTCCAAAAACATATGGGATTTGCCACATTTCTGAAATTCGGCGGCACCCCTCACGCAGATCGGAAACAGATGAGATTTGCTACATTTCTGAAATTCGGTGGCACCCCTCACGCAGATCGGCGGGGTCAGGGTGCAAAAACAATTGGGATTTGCCACATTTCTAGAATTTGGTGGCACCCCTCACGCAGATCCGCACGGTCCAGGTCCAAAAACACTCGGGATTTGCTACATGTCTGAAATTCGGCGGCACCCCTCACGCAGATCGGCAAGGTCAGCGTCCAAAAACATATGGGACTAGAACCTTCGCGCGCGCTTCGCGCGCGCTCAAGTTCTAGCTAGGCTTCATAGGCTAACTCATGTAAAATCATTTTGGTCGCTTCTTGCGTCCAGGGACTCCCTTGGAGGCCCTTCGCAAGCCTCGGAATCGTATAGAAGGGGAAGTGCGGAAACGCAAGAATCCTTCATTTCCTTCTCGGTATTCAAAGATTTGGGGCGCTCAAAGGCTTCCTGGGTTCTTTTTTGGGAGGTGAGGGGGGTCTGAATTGTGGTCTGTTGTGCAATAGTAGACCGGAGGCCAAACTTGGAAAGAAAAGTAATAATTGTGGGATTCCCATTTTTTCCAATTCCTCGGCGCTGTTCGGCGCTGTTTTTTGCTTGTGCCTCGCGGGTTTTGTTAGTTGGGCCCCTCAGGGGTGTGGGGGATCTTCCGGACCCCGTGGGGGTTCTGGAGGCCTCCTGGAGGCCTGGAGAACCGTCGAAAGGTGTCTCGGGCTGCGCGGGTGCGTGTTAGGCCGTTCTCCACATTCTGGGGGCTCCTTGGGGTCGTCTTGGGCTGTCCTTGGGCGTCTTGGGGGCCTTCCGGGAAGCCGGGAGGCGCAGTACCGGCCAGATGTCAGGAGGTGTGTGGGATCTCCGAGTAAGAGTCAACCTGGAAAAAAAGGAGGAAGTCTGGGAATTCCATATTTTTTCAAAATCCTCGATCTTCCAGGGTTAGAAGCGGGAAAACGTGAGAAGGCGAAAAACATCAGAAAAACCATTGAACGTTGGGGACGGCTCTCGCAGCTCTCTTGGGCTGTTCTTGGAGCCTCGTCGGTGACTTTTTGGGGTCTCTCAAGGATCGGGTGTGTGTGTGGGGGGCCTCTGGGTGGTCCTGGAGGCCTCTCGGAGGTCTCTGGAAGCCTCCTGCTCCCGCTCTTGGGCCCATCTTGGGCCTGTTCTGGGGTGGTCTGGGGCTGTCCTGGGGGCCTCTTCGGCAGTCTTGGAGCCTTCATGACCCGTCTTGGGTCCGTCCTGAGGGTCTCTTGGGTGGTCTTGGGGCGGTCTTGGGAGCCTCTTCGGCGCTCTTGGACCGTTGGAAGCTCGAAAACGCGAGAAGCCAAAAACATAGAAAAATAAAAATGAGCATCGACGATGTTGGCCTCTTCGGGCCGTCCCGGGACGCCTCTCGGACCTCTCTTGGGGTCTCTCTGGAGGCCACCTGGGAGCCTCGAGAGCCGTCGGAAGGCTGACTTGAGCTGCTTGGGAGCGTCTTGGGCCATCATTTCGATTCC